TCTTCCTTCAGTAATATTATTTTATATAGGACTGGAAATGCCAAACCCACTGACTATAAATCCGGTGCAGGGTTGCCAACTAAAAAAAAACACCTTCATGATAATTTTCAGTATTGCAAAAAAACTTTAACGAAACCAGTGAGTCTAGAATATCTAATATTTATAATTCAGCACAGACTAGATGAAAACATCAAAAATATTGTTTCAATACAAACACATCTTATTATCATAAACAAACAAATATTTTTGAAAATCAAAAAGTTTATTACATGCAATTATTAGGAATAAGATCAAATATTTATTTGAACTAAATAGATCAATATTTTTACTAGATTGATATTTAAAGGATTTGACTGAAATGAAAAATTAGCAAAATTCAAATATCTTTTGATAAAACAAATTCTGCTCAAACCAAGAAAATAGATTTCAAATTAATCAATATACTAAATTGAAACATTTTTACATGTATATACGTCAAATATAGATAGAAAATATATAAGTTAACTTTTTGTCAAAGGTGTTTTCTGTTTCCATTTATGAATTGCATTATTGGTATATCTCACATTTTCAAAGATTCCCTTTTATTTGAATCAATTTGTTATGTATTCGATAGATTGAAATGAGAATGAAAACTTATTTTTAGTTTGGTTAATATTAAACCGCTATAACCATAACTTGAAAAGTACTTGAATTACCTGTTTTGGAGTATATATAATACATTTTCGAAGTACAGTTTATGAAAAGTATTTGTACTTGGAATCGAAATGTCACCCTGTCCTTGATATATTGGTCAATGGGCAAATAAATCGGTAAAAATTGTGTAAAAGTGTTACATCAGACGAGATTGGGAAAATCTTTGAGAAACATGACGTGAAACCAATATTTAGAAGAAGACAAACTATCAGCCAAAGTCTAAGGTCAGCTAAGAACCGCAGAGAAACTTTAGCTACACCCGGGATATACCGGATTCCTTGTATCTAGCTGTGGGTCGGTTTTCATTGGAACCACGGAAAGAAATGCAGGTACACGGCTCTCTGAACACACGGAAAAATCGGCAAATCTGCTGTAGTCGAAGATGATCTCAACAAGGAAGGCACTAATATCATTGCACTCAAAGATAAGGTGATACTCGATAAAATACAATATTACTATCCGAGATTATCTGGAGAGGCAATAGTAATTTAAAAGCACAGAGATAATTTCAATAGAAAAGAAGAGGCAATAAACATCAATAAAGTCTGGCTAGCTTTCACACAGGTATCTCTGGCCGTGAAAGTTCACATTCTTATAGGAGATAGTTAGGGACACTGATGGAAGCTGAATTGTATAGGATTCAACAGGGTAGGTCAGAAAATAATGAATGATCAAAAAAAATGCTCACCAGTCCCTTGGTCTGCATTGTGAATATATCTTTCTTCACTGGAATATTCTTGGACTTTTCAAAAATGGCAAAAATAATTGCTATTTATAAAAAAAATTGTCCTCAATCGCTAGAAAACTATAGGCCAGTACCTAACATAAGGTATTCGTAATCCAGGACAAGGATTTTAGGAACCTGGTAGAGACTGACCCATCACAAAAGGTGTGTGGGATCGCGTGACGGTTAAAACGTATTGGAAAGGCCAAAAAGCTCGAAAAGTGGGTGTTCCACGATTTGAAGGAATCAAAGAAATTGTCACGTTTCAAGGTCTGTCCTTCTTTGCTTTTGCGCAACCAAAATGATCCTTTTTTAAATCGGATCGTCACGTGTGATGAAAAGTGCATCCTCTACGACAACAGGAGACGTTCAGGACAATGTTTGAACACTGAACACCGATGATCCACCCAGACACTTCCCAAAGGCGAAAACTCACCAAAAAAGTCAGTCAGTGGTTACTGTATGGTGGTCAGCGGCTGATGTGATTCACTATAACTTTCTGCAACCGGGCCAAACCATCACAACAGACTCCTATTGTGAGGACATTAACGAAAAGTACCAAAAATTGCGTCAGCAGTAACCGGCACTGTCAACCAAAGAAGTCCGATCCTGCTCCACGACAACGCTCGTCCGCACGTTTCACAATGCACAGTCCAAAAATTAAACGAATTGAGCATCGAAGGTCTGTCTCTTCCACCATACTCCCCAGATCTCATGCCAACCGACTACTATCTTTTCAAGTAGCAGTAAAACCTTCGCCAACTAGGACTAGGCAAAAACGGCCTTCATAGACTTCATCAATTTCCGAGCACACAATTTTCATGATGACTTGTGTTATTCGAAAGTGTCCTGATTCAAATGGCGCTCATTTCGATTACATTGAATGAGTGTTAAATGGAATATTACATTTTTAAACAGACCCATAGAAACTGACAAACTTTTAAAACAACCTACTCACCTAGATGTGCGCGACAAATTGGATGTATCGCTTTCGAATTGTGTACTGTCTTTGTTTCTTCGAAGTTACTGGAGATTGGTTAAATATCTCGCTGATATTTGCAGTTGAATTATGTTCATCTTGTTCTAAATTTCATCAACACTGAATCGTTTAGCTGTCATTCCTTCTGTGTGGTATTCATGATAAGCTTCAAACAGGAGTCAGCAATATCGTAAACTAACAATTATCTACTTTTGTAACCACACAAAATTTCCTAACTCTTATGAATTTTCCAGAATCCAAGATAGTAGATCTCCAAGATGAGGATTTCAAGGGTTGAACTTCGTGATTACAGTGTGGAGGTAGCAATATCAATGTCTTATGATTTTCTCGTACTTTTTCTTTAAGTTCTATATCCTTGGTATGCCGGAAACGTTCATCAATTATGAAGGACTGAAGAGCTTTCATTAAATTTTACGTATTCTCAACAAAATTATGTAACCACTAATGTCTCAATAAATATGTTCTTCCAATTGATCTTACAGGTGGTTCTTTCATTGAAATTCAACTCATACTTTTCCTGGGAAATATCATCATTGGTGGTTCGAAAATTCCGACTAGACTCTTACTGGTCACTACTGTTTAAT